AAGGACTAAAGCAAATGTCTTTCAAAGGTTTAGATGGCATCATAAAAAGCAGATCTTCAGTTATTCTGTGGAAGTTTTGATTGCTTTCTGAACTCAGTGACTCCATCTTACTCACACCTTTATTTCCACATATTTTAATGTGAAGAACAGTTAAGTTCAAGAAGCAAGGTACTGTATGCTTGCTGGGCAGTATACTTCAGTAAGAAGTCTATTTTTGGCAAGCAGCATGGGGCTTGTCTTCTACTTCTGGGAGTCTGACACTATGGTAGAAAAGGGATTATTTTTTAATTTAGTTTTTATATTTTCAAAGTTACACATATTCATGTGATTTAAGGAATCAAATGGTTTCATGAGGCTTTTCTGGAAAAACAGGAGACTCATCCTTGTCCCCTCCTTTGCTCTCCCTTTTCTTGATCCCCAGAGACAACCGTATCCAACTCTCACCACTGTTTCTTTCAGCATTAACCTCCATATCTCCACATATCACACTATTTCTTTATTTTTATGTTTAGGCTCCATTAGGCAGCAAAGTCAGTTACCACTTATCCTTCTGCCTCCCAGCTTCCAAAATTTTGTTGCTATTATTTCTCTTCATTTTTCCTTGTATTTGTGGTGGCTTCCTCTTCCTCCCCGACACAAAAAAAGCCTTATTATTTTGCGATTTCTGATTTAAGCAGGGAGTTGAAGTTCACGTGTATGGTCAATCAACTTTGACCAAGCTGAAAGTCCTGTTGTTTCATACTGATTTTTCCTTAGCATAGTGCTGGATTATGTCACATATCATACATTTGGGACTAATTTGTGCCAGTAGAGCCATATAGGATAATATATCAGTACGATGCATTGAAGTTAAATCAATGGTTTTGGAGGTAGGAGGCCCAGATTTAATTAAAGGTGTTGCCACTTACTAATGGTATGCATTTAGCGAGGCACTAAACCAAGCCTTAGTTTCCTCATCTGTAAGTGGCAGAAACCATATTTAATCCACAGAATGATTAAAATAATTAATTTAGACCAGATGATGGATAAAAGCACTTGGCCCACAATGTACCCTCCTTGTGGAGCAGAATTACAAGTGAACTGAGATTGAATTAATAGATAGTACTTCGTGTTCTTTCTTATAACAGGTACTCAATACAATATTTGTGAGGTGAATGAATGTCTTCTCTTAATGAAGTATTTCAGAAAAAAACAACATTGAATATTGAGATTCATTAAATGCTACATGAATCTCAAAACAAGCAAAATAGCAAAATTAACCTTTACGTTTTAAAGTCTTTCTAATCCCCTCATTTTCTTTCATTGCCACAGAAGACTGTATTTTAAACTTTTAATTATTCGATTTCTCTTAAAAAAAAAAGTCATGGATGCACGATTTTAAAGAAAGAAAAGAGCAGCCTCATCAGCTTTTTTCTAGAACTTAGACTAGCCTCTTAGTTAGATTCCTCATTTCCTCTCCCTTAGTCCCTTCCCCCCAATACCCTTTCATCACCGCGGAAGGGGTGATCTTTAAAAGAAAAAATTCCTATCAGAGCAAATCACTCCCTCGCTTAAAATCCCTCTTTGACATCCCATTTTTCTTGGAATAAAAACAGAACTCCCTGGCAGAACCTACAAAGCCTTGCAAAGCTCCAGCCTCATCTCCAGTCCTGTTTTGTAACCCTTGCCCACTGTTTTCTTAGGGTATCAGCTACACTGGTTCCTTTCATTATTGAAATGTGGCAAGCTCCAGCCTTCCTCAGAGACTTTCCTCTTGCTTTTCCCTCTGCTTGGAATGTCCTTCTTCAGTGTTTTTCTGGCTAACTTCTACTCATCCTACAAGTCTGCCTGAATATCACCTCTCCTGGAAACCTTACCCTGACCCCAAAAACTAAGATTCTCTTGTTGGTTACTTGTTGAGAGCCTGGTACTTCCCTTTTATAATGCTTACCCCAGTTGAACTTCATTAATTGTGTAATTAATTACTTAGTTCTGTTTCTCCTCCTCAGTGTAAGCTCTATAAAAGGCAGGGACTACATCTGTTTTCTTTACTGCTTTATCCATGTTAAAGGAAAAAGTTTAGACAAATTAAATTTATTAGAGTTTAATTGAGCAAAGAACAATTTGCGAATCAGGCAGCCCCCAAACCATAATGGGTTGAGAGAGACTCCAGTGCTGCCACGTGGTCAGAAAAAGGAAACAGAAAAAGGAGAGTGACCTGCAGAAAATGGAAGTGAGATACAGAAACAGCTGGATTGGTTACAGCTGGTTTTTGCTTTGCTTTATTTGAAGAGTTGGCCTCCTGTGATTGGCCGAAACTCAGCGATTGGTAGAGGAGTAAGTTCCAGTCTGTTTACACATCCAGTTCACTACGAACAAAGAAATCTTTAGGCAGAATTTATAAGGCGGTAGCTTTAGGCTAAACTTAATTTAACATCCACAATACCATGCAAAATGTCTTGTACATAGTCATTTCTCAATACATATTTGTTGAATAAAAGGATTAATGACTATAGTAGAAAGGAAAAAACGCTACATTTTAAATATATAATTTTAAGGACCCTGTTTTTATTTTCAGATTCTCCTGCTGGGTTAGGTAAACAAATCTGCTGTAGACCCAATGGCTTGACAAATGCTTACTTTTGACTCGGTCTTTGAAGCTAAGAGAATTGTTTGGGAGAAGGGGAGAGAACCTAGGGGGAAGAAGTATGAAGGTTATCTCTTTGCTAACCAAGTTCTGGGCAGTGTCAAGAAGGGAAGGTGATTGTGCTGCCACTAATGCACCTTCAGTTAGACCATGTGTCCCTAGCTTCCAGCACAGTGCTTGCATAAAAAAGATGCTCAATAAATATGTGTTGAATTAATGGATAAAGGTGGCCTTTTTACTTCGCCATATGCCCACCAAGCTGCAAGTACGCTTTGTGACTTCCTCTTTAATGCTGCCATTGAAGATCACTTTTGCACGTTTTTAGCTGTATGTTTTGACAGAGGGAAAGTCAATATATTATTTATGTAGGCTCAGATCAAGTCATGCTATTTAGGGATGATGGAAAGTCAATATATTATTTGTGTAGGCTCAGATCAAGTCATGCTATTTAGGGATGATTGTCCTAAGCCCAGTTTGGAAGAGCCCCATTTATTATTCTAATTCGTAAATACTCCACTACACATTCACAAAAAGTATTTCTTTTCAAAATCTCTGCAAATCTCACTGCTTAAATCTAATGTAATTTCTGGAAAAGGAGCTCATTTTGAAAAACAACAAAGAATTGAGTTATAGTTTCATATGAATGGCAATGCCAAAATATTAGTGAAGATTTTCTGCTGGGGATCACTTGGCTCCAAGTGAAGACAGCATGGTAAGTGCTTGCATAAAAAAACTAAACAAGGCCGGGCGCGGTGGCTCACGCCTGTAATCCCAGCACTTTGGGAGGCTGAGACGGGTGGATCACCTGAGGTCAGGAGGTCGAGACCAGTGTGGCCAACATGGTGAAACCTCATCTCTACTAAAAATACAAAAAATTAGCTAGGTATAGTGACACATGCCTGTAATCCCAGCTACTCAGGAGGCTGAGGCAGGAGAATCACTTCAATCTAGGAAGTGGAGGTTGTAGTGAGCCAAGATTGTGCCATTAGCCATTACACTACAGCCTAGGCAACAAGAGCAAGACTCCATCTCACACACACCAAAAAAACCAAAACAAAAAAAACAAAAAACACCCACTAAACAGTTTTATTTCACTGGACTGGGAAGAGGTATCCAAATTCACATGGCTCTAGGAGATTCACAAAGCGTGTTTGCAGACTTTATGACACTCTTAAAAGATTGTGATGAAATGGGGAATCCCTTTCTGGCATTTAAACGCTGTATATGTCTAGTAGTTTCTTGAAATTTGTCAGCTAGAGCTTTATTTATTCAGCTCAGGGATAGCAAATTACCTCAGTGCATGCCAAGACAATACACTGCTAATGGCTGCTATAATGAGAAAAGTTCTGAGGTCTTACTTGGTCTCATCCAGAATGTGTTGTCATCACTTAGCAATGATAGCTATGAGTTTTAGAATGGGGATTTGTGGAATGCCACATATCCTTTCTTTAAGGCTTTTTTTGTTTGGTTTTGTTAAAATTTAAATCTAAAAGTCTCATTTAATCTTCACATAAACTCTATGAGGTAAGTACTGCTATAATCTCGATTTTTTTTTTTCAGATGAGAAACTAAGGTAAAGATACATTGTTTCCCAAAGTATTTAGTCAATTAGTGATGGAACTTATATTTGAACACATGCTTATCCAAACTAACTCCAGAGCCCAGGCTCTTAACTGCCACATAATATTTCTTAAGAATTCTGAAGCATTCATATTTAAAGCTGTTAACACTTACGCATACCCTAGAATGAATTTCTCTCTATTGTCTTATCTAAAATAAGAAAATACAAAATATTAATAAGGCTGGCAAGGTTGAAGACAAACTTTACCTACTTTATAACACTGTGTAAGACTAATTTTTTATCTAAATATCAAAAATAAAGTTTGGTGTATGACTATTCTAGTGAAGGAAATATGAATTATTTCTGGATATTTTAAGGTTGTAATACAATGCATGTATATCATTTATACCTCCACATCTAACCTAAGTGGAAGTACTACTCCTAGATTAGATTTTTCACTCATTGAAACTTTTTATTCTTAAAGTAATGGTGTTAATCACCATGCCCTGATGAGATTCTAAAGGTACATAATTATATTTTGCTTTCCTTAAACACTTAAAGCATGTTCTTTTAATGGGATTACCTATTTATGGAAAGATACTGCTATCATTTCCCCCAAGTGTTTATTTCTGTAATTAACTGTTAAATTATTTATAAATGTGCAATTTATAGTATCCACATAAAGTAGCTTGGCTTTTACCCAAATGCAGAGAAAACAAAAAACAAAAAAAAGTCTTCAAATATTTTTAGATGGTGTAAGAAATGTCAGAGCATGCTTTGATTTATTGCCTGTTTTCTTTTTTTTTTTCATAGAAAAATCTGTCATTGCTCAACCAATATTTGTTTTTGAAAAGGGAGAACATACTTTTAAGGTAAGATTGTCTATTTCTTTGTTTAATTTTACTTTGACAAAGATAATTATATTTCAGGAAGCTAGTTATCCTGAAAGATATCACTGCTGCTTAGGTTTATGCTGTTCTTTACCAGCAGAGTAGTGCCTCCAGATTATTGATATAGTTAGGATTTACAAACATCAGTTTGGCTGGAATGCGAAGCCAGAGACCTTGTCTTGGAGCTATGGATAACATACTGTTTCATTATAGTAATATCTTTATTTGGAGTAACTTGAAAACGGGAGGAGCTGAAAGAGATTAGGAGGGCTATAGCTCCTCATATGAGTCCTCACCACTGACCTAGCCTAAAATCAGGTAAAAAAATAAATTCTAAACTACGATATTTGATTTTAAAGGGACCTTTTGAACTCTGCCTGTTTTTTTGGCATCATACTAAAATCATCCGTTTTGAAAGACCAACAGTAAGATTAGTTGCTGGGCGTGATGGCTTGCGCCTGTTATCCCTGCACACTGCTAGGTCACAGTGGGAGGACTGTTTGAAGCCTGTGGTTTGAGGTCAGCCTGATCAATAAAGCAATACCTCATCTCTACAAAAAAAAATAAAAAGAAATTAGTCAGGCATGGTGACATGTGCCTGTAGTAAGTCCTAGCTACTTGGGAGCCTGAGACTAGAGGATAGCTTGAGCCTAGGAGTTAGAGGTTGCAGTGAGCTATGATTGCACTGCTGGCACTGAAGCCTGGGTGACAGAACAAGACCTCATCTCTAAACAAACAAAAAGCCCCACTAGATTCTCACTTTACCTTATTTCTTGGTATTCATTCTTATCCATGCAGGTAATTTAACCTACTACCCACAAAAACACTAAACGTAAGAAACACTCAACCTCCAAGCCCTTGTTTAAAAAACATTCCTGGGCCCCACCCAAGAACAACCACTTCAGAATCTTGAGAATAGGTGCCTCAAAATCTACATTTTTAAACGAACTTTCACAAGTGAATCTGCAGTCATTGAACTATAAAACTACTGGACTAGACTTTTGGTTTTTCTTGACTATGTGCCTAACAAATGAAGGTGAACTGCTTTGTCCTGGCCAGGCTAATTAGCCCTGGCTTCTCAGAATTCTGTAAAGTGGCAGCATGGAAATCTGATGTACTAGGTTGGTGCAAAACTAATTGTGATTTTTGCCATTACTTTTAATTGCCAAAACTGCAGTAACTTTTGCACCAACATAATACAAAGGCAAATACTCAGCTCTCCTCAGTGGTTTTGTTTCCTTTCAGAGACCTGCAGAAGACACCCTGTATGAAGCAGCAGAACCAGGTAATGATTTTCATCCTGTATTCCAAAATCAATCTTCATACAAACAAAATTAGCAGACACAAGTATTTTGGCATGTGGCACAGACTGTGTGAAAGTTAATGTTTTTTCTTTTTTTTTTTTTTTGAGACGGAATCTCCCTCCTTCGCCTAGGCTGGAATGCAGCAGCACAATCTCAGCTCACTGCAGCCTCTGCCTCCTGGGTTGAAGCAATTCTCCTGCCTCAGCCTCCTGAGTAGCTGGGACTACAGGCGCCCGCCACCTTGCCCGGCTAGTTTTTTGTATTTTTTAGTAGAGACGGGGTTTCACCGTGTTAGCCAGGATGGTCTCGATCTCCTGACCTCGTGATCCGCCCGTCTCGGCCTCCCAAAGTGCTGGGATTACAGGCTTGAGCCACCGCGCCCGGCCTGTTTTTTCTTCTTTTAAAATATGCCAGTAGATTCACTTTTGTTTTGAAATATGATATATAGGTCCCTGAGAACACTGATGTTAGTGACTAAAATTCACTGTGCTCCACTCCCTGCCCCTCAGCCTATCAAAAACATTCTCTGTAGACCTCAAAATGCATATACAAATTATTGCTGACACCAGTCATTTCTAATTGTTTCATACTAGCATGATATGCCTATAGGTTTATAATCAATCAGCAACCTATTAACCCCAATATTTAAAATAGTGATTTAAGGGTTAATGTGTTATCAAATGATGATCTGTGTAGACAAAAGAAAATTCTGTTTATCCTACCCTATCATGAGTTGAGGATACTTTGTTATTGCAAGTAATTTTAGCCTTCCCATTGCTTTTCTTGCAGAATGTAATGGTTTTTCAAGAAAGCGTGTACGGTCTTCATCTTTTACTTTTCATATTACAGATTCTCAGTCCCAGGGAGGTATGTATAGCCTTGACTGTTGACTATTCACTGTTATGTTTATTCTGAATGCAAAATTACTGAGAAACTTTTCAAAAGAGTAATGTTAAAAGCTTATCAACTGAATAGTGTTTATAATATATTGTTATGTGAAAACAACAAGCTATATAATGGTACAGTGAGTCAGTATTTAAACATTCCATTTATCAGCATTGGAAAAAATACCAAAAGGACATAAGCCACAATGATAGCAGTGGTTATCTTAAGTAGAGGACTTGCAGGTGATTTGGTCTCCTCCCCATCTCCCATGCCTTTGTATTTTGCTATGTTTCCAAAGTTTCTGCATTGAGCACGTATTAGCTTTGTAAGTAGGGGAAAAGGCCATTTTTAAAGTAACCATTGGCTGGGTGCGGTGGCTCACATGTGCAATCCCAGCACTTTTGAAGGCGGAGGTGGGCAGATCACGAGGTCAGGAGTTTGAGACCAGCCTGGCCAACACAGTGAAACCCTGTCTCTACTAAAAATACAAAAAAAAAAAAATTAGCTGGGCGTGGTGGCAGGTGCCTGTAGTCCCAGCTACTTGGGAAGTTGAGGCAGGACAATCTCTTGAACCTGGGAGGTGGAGGTTGCAGTGAGCCGAGATTGCGCCATAGCACTCCAGGTGGGTTGACAGCATGAGACTCCCTCTAAAAAAAAAAAAGAAAAAAGAAAGCAACCACCTATTTAAATAAATGGATGCCTACCCTTTGAAAATAATTTTATCATACACTGTGTTCCGAGTAAATCAGTAACTTAGTTTGCTTCTCTTCTATGCTGAAAGCACTCCAGTGATTCCTTTTATAATGAGCTCCATGTCTTCCGCCTTGTAATACAGCATCTATGTATATATTTCTCCTCCACTGTGAGTTCCTTGAGGTCATCTTCATGGCTGATAGTGTCTTACATATGGTGACCATAAAATAAATATTTACTGTTGAATGGAATTGAATGGAAATTAATTTATCATCCTCATCAGATGTACTCCTTATTTACATTAATAACAATAAAGACTTTTCTAAATTAGTGATACAGAAATTTTTCCAAAACAGCAAAACTCCAAATGAAAACAAAACAAAAAACCCACTTTCTAAGTGACTTTAGTTTGCAATCTGCTTTTAGTGTCAACCTTGTCTCAGAAACAAACGAGATCTTCATCCGTCACTAACCTCCCAACCTTCCCCCATTCTGGGTCAGGTAATAAAGAGTTTCTAGAACTTCAAGCCTGACACTCTGACTTTTCAAAATCATTCTTATTAATGATGACTTTTCTTTCTTAGCTACTATCATAAAATGCTGACACCTTAGAAATAGATCACAAAGTATGCATCGAAGAATACCTTATGAATTCTAACTTCACAAATTCTGAGTACATGTTTTTACCTTGGGTAGAAAGTTTGAACTTAATTTTTTTTACGATTTCACATTTATAACAGCATTATTTTATTTAAGGCAGCCCTATAAAAGTAAAAACAATTTGCATTATTTTACTTCTTATTGTCCATCTACATAGTTTATAATGTGTAGTATTTAAAACATGCAATTATGCTTTAAATTCATATTTTAAGTTTAGCATATAAATCCACTAAAATTTCCACTAATTAAAACATTACTCCTCTTTACTTGAAATTTATAATGTTTTGCTTAGTAAAACTATTTTATCATAATAAAATATTTGAAATGGCATTTTCTCCACATTAAAATGATCTCTATTCTCATGTTTTCATTTCTATTAAACAATCAATTGCCTTTTCCAAGTTAAGTTTGCCACTAAGAAAGAAAAAGTACAAACTACTCACTTCACTTGAATTGATCCCCCTCTACCCAGGAACTACAGAGTTTTTTCTTTTTTCCTTTTTCTTTTTTTTTTGAGACAGTCTGGCTCTGTCATCCAGGCTGGAGTGCAGTGGTGTGACCTTGGCTCACTGCAACCTCTGCCTCCTGGGTTCAAGCAATTCTCTTGCCTCAACCCCCCAGGTAGCTGGAACTACAGGCATGCAACACCATGCCCGGCTAATTTTTGTATTTTTAGTAGAGACCAGGTTTCGCCATGTTTGCCAGGCTGGTTTCGAACTCCTGGCCTGCAGCAATCTGCCTGCCTTGGCCTGTCAAAGTGCTGATATTATAGGCATGAGCCACCACACCCGGCCAGGATCTCTATTTATCTTAATGTCTGAGCTTGTCAGTCAGGTTAGAAGGGTTAGAGACACTAAAAAGTGTCTCTTCTGCATCTGAAAGGTACATGACTGTTGCTCAGTCATGCCTGCAGTTATTACTAAGAATATAGATTTATTCATTGAAAAACTCTGTAGTTCAGGCCGGGCGTGGGTGACTCAGGCCTGTAATCCCAGCACTTTGGGAGCCGAGGTAGGTGGATCACGAGGTCAAGAAATCGAAACCATCCTGGCCAAAATGGTGAAACCCCATCTCTACTAAAAATACAAAAATTAGCTGGGCATGGTGACGTGCACCTGTAGTCCCAGCTACTCAGGAGGCTGAGGTAGGAGAATTGCTTGAACCCGGGAGGCGGAGGTTGCAGCGAGCCGAGACCGTGCCATTGCACTCCAGCCTGGGTGACAGAGCCAGACTCTGGGTGACAGAGCCAGACTCTATCTCAAAGAAAAAAAAAAAAAGAGAAATAGAGATCCTAATCCCAGAGGCAAAGGTATTCTGTTTTATTGTTTTTACTCATAAAACAAAGGAATGGCTTTAAGTTATCTACGCACCTGCTTTAATTCATTTTTTACTGGACACACACAAAGGAAAGCATCACTCTGTTTTATCTTGTGCAGAATGTTAGTGGTGTTCAGCAGGAGAAAAATATGGCTCATTTTTTGTTGATGTTCAGTAATAAAAGATAATAAAAAACATTAAATTGAACTCTGAAGTAAAGAAGGGATTCTACCCCAACATTTATGTTATAACACCTTAAAGAATACTTTGAAGAAGCAATTATTCTTTTCTCATCTTCATTAATTAAATGCCAAAGGTTGCTGTTTCTGCAATTTGCAATCGAGGAGATCCCTTTGAAATGTATAGAAATTCTATACTTGGAGCCATCACCACAGTCTTACCCCACCAACATGCTTGTAGAAAAATAACCTAGCACATTTGTCATCTTTACTTCTTTTTTCAGGTATACTCATTAAAAAGTCAGGGAGTGTGGGCAAACTTTGGTAACAGTTTTATAATATTCTATAATAGCTATATATTAATGCTGAAGGGCTCATTACCAATTCAGATTTTATAGTCTGTAGAATTTCTGACAGTACACTATTTAAAGATCTAAAAAAGGCTGCCTTTTCTCTAGTCACTTAATTTTCACTTAGATTTCTGAAAGTAAACAGAACTATGTAGCGGGACGCATCTGGCAATCCACCCCCCACCATTTTTTTCCTTTGAGATGGAGTCTCGCTCCCATCACGCAGGCTGGAGTACGATTTCCGCTCACTGCAACCTCCACCTTCTGGTTTCCAGTGATTCTCTTTCCTCAGACTCACGAGTAGCTGGGATTACAGGCACTTGCCACCATGCCTGGCTAATTTTTTTTTGTATTTTTAGTAGAGACTGGGTTTTGCCATGTTGGCCAGGCTGGTCTCAAACTCCTGACCTCAGGTGATCCACCCGCCTTGGCCTCCCAAAGTGCTAGGATTACAGGTGTGAGCCACCGCGTCTGGCCGGCAATCCCATTTTTAGCAGAGCCAGTGCTCCAGAGAGCACTACCTAGTACTCTGTTAGTGCCAATTGCGACATCTGCTGGTGAGTTCAGAACGGGGTTGTTAAGCCCCAAATAGTGTAGAATCTGACACTCTTCTGTATTAAAAAAATTTTTAATATTTTTTCTAACAGTGAGGAAAAACAATATTTTTATGATATCGACTCTTGTGCAAAGTAATGTTGATATAAAGAGTGCTGAACAAGGTATGTAGCTTCTATTTCAAGAACCTCAGAAATTGTATATTTTACCACCTATATTTTCATCTCCCTATATGTGCGTGTGTTGGGGGCATGGAGTTAGGTCAGAGTGACAAAACATGAAGAAATAATGCAAGTAAGCCAGGTTTCATGATCAAAATGAACAGTTATTGGGCAAAAGCTAGGCAAGGTGTGAGTGCTGGGGAACTCAATGCTTATTTTGACTTTGATTAATTAACACTAGTCCCTCATTTAAACATGACTTTAGAAAATAAGAATTATATTAGTTAAAAATAGGGAGTAAAGGAATATTGCACTAAAAATATATTTATCTTTTAATTCTATTCTTTTAAGGTCCTGTGAAACATTCTAAGCATGTTATTAGACCTGCTATTTTGCAGCTACCTCAAGCTCAAAGTTTTGCAAAAGTAAGAAAAACATTTGGACACAAGGCACTGGAATCCTGCAAGATTAAAGAAAAAACAAATAATAAGGTGAGAAAGCCCAGGATAACAGGACTGATCTCAACCCTTCATCCTTCTTTTTGTAGGTTGTTTGGGGCCTCCATATCCAGAAATAGGAGTTGCCTGAGCTTTGTTTTGTTGCTGGGCTAGACAGCATAAAGCCCTTGGTAACCTTTTTAAAGTTGTACTCTTACTTTACATTGGAGAGTTGTAGTCTCACAAATCTATGGTCTCTCTAAAGTTATAAAGCTGAGTACTGGGCAGTAGAAATCTGGGGGTCTTGTGCCACAGCAATGACCCTATGTGAGAATGGGGACAGCAATGAGGTAGCCAGGGGCCATAATCAGTAGTCAAAAAAGAGACATGGATTTTCTCTACATCGTCAACTGGTCAACATCACAGTGTATCTTTGCCAGTTTAGGTCATACCAGGGGTTCACTTCAGAGCCATATTCCAGTATAACAGGAGCAGAGAACTCCCTATACAGTGTAATTGGAAGGGTCTGGGAAGCCTCCAGAGGCAGATAAGAATTCTAACTTCCTACTATGTAGTGTCTGAATCACTCTTTGTAGGCCTTTCTAAAGAGACAGTAACTTACACAAGCCATGCAGATACGGGTTTGGGGATATATTCAATTGCTGTAATGCTACCCCTGTCTTCCAGCAGAAGCAGACACAGGAGGAACAGGACTCAGGATAGGCAGGTTGGAATTTGACAGTTATTCCATCTTAGCCATTTGTTTCCAGGTGAACTACTGAGGATTGGTCACATAGTTTCGCTTTGTTTTGTTTTCCCTTAGTGAACATAAGGACAGAAACATTCAAGTGTAAAAAAATACCAGCTTGGTACTAATCTTGCCTCTGCCACTATCTTTGTTTATCTAAACAAAGCACCCATTCAACATCTTTTTTTATCAGCAAAGTAAGGGACTTGAACTTGGTCAGCATTTACCAATATTTTTATATTTCTAAACCCTTTACTTTGTAAGATATGATTTGGAGAGATCCATTATGAACTTAAAAAATCATTTCATCATTTATGCATGCTATATAATAATTTTTAAGTAAAATATGTCTTCAATTTTAGATAAGTATATTACTGTTTCCATTTAAATATAATGTAATAATTATCACCAAGTTACATAATTCCTTACTTTTATTTAAGAAGTCATATGGCCGGGCATGGTGGCTCATGCTTTTAATCCTAGCACTTCGGGAGGCCGAGATGAGTGGATCTCTTGAGCTAAAACGTTCCAGACAAGGCTGGGCAACATAGTAAAGCACTGTCTTTACAAGAAATATAAAAATTAGCTGGGCATGGTGGCATGCGCTTGTAGTCCTAGCTTGAGCCCGGGAGGCAGAGGTTGCAGTGAACCGAGATGGTACCAGTTTGGGTGACAGAGCCAGACTGTCTCAAAAAAGAAAAGAAAAAAAAGAGTGATGCATGGTGTTTAACTTGTTTTAAATTATGTAATAGGAAGTATAATGTATTGACTAATTTCTAAAAAGTTATATTGCATTTGATTTTAAAATGGCATGCACTATAAATACACAGCAAGATTTTAATTACACGCTATGACATCAAAAGTACATCAATATTTCTTTCTTGGCAGGATCTTTGTAAACACTGCATTGCATATTTTTAAAATAAAATTTATTAATATATTTCTTCCATTTTTTTTTCCTAAATGATCCAAGCATAAGAGAAAATTTCAAGCTATTGTTTATATTTATTTTTGAGAAAATTATAAGGTCTAGTGAATAAACCTTATTTCCAGTTATTGAAAATCCTTACTGTATATGCCCATCATTAAACAGAAAATTTAATGCCCATCATTAAATAGAAAATTTAATGCCCATCATTAAATTTTCCATTTAGTGATCTTAGAAGATCCAGAGACACACTGTATATAAGATCCTATGTAAGAATTTTGACCAAATGAATGTAATTTAAGATTTGGCGAAAACTCTCTAGGTGGATTTTGTAGAACCATTATCTTTATATTTCTTATTAACTTGTATATCAAAATCAGATAAATTATTTTCATCCTATCATTAATCAATGGTTACTTAATATGTATAGATTAAACAATATATGCCTAAGTAACTATTTTAACCAACATAGGAGTGAAAGCTACCATTTCGACTGAGGGCTACATCATCTGAGTGACTAGGTCATGAGCATGTACTCTGATCTTTGCTAACCATGGCACATGCTCTCTTGATACATATTTGTCAGTTCTCAAATTCTTGTTAAAAAAGAAAAAGTATTCAAAATTATTTTTATTGACTGAAATAAAAATTTAAGTGGAAACATATCCCATCTGGCTTTAAAAGATATGAACGACCTGAAACATCTTTGCAAATCCCTGGTCGAGGAAGGAAGGTGTCCACAATACACTGTAAATACTAGACCAGATAATTTATAGGGTTCCTTCCAATTCTAAATTTCCTCACTCTTACATTTATATATTAATTCAGGTATTGTGCATACGCATATGTACATAAGGCAAAGTAACTGGGTAAGTTACCAGTTGAAAATTTCAAGATAAAGAGATGAGTGGGGTTTTCTCTTACACTGGGTGACTAGGATGGTGACATTTTTGGGTGTTACCAAGGATTACATAGTCCTGAAAGTGAGCTTTACTAATCCAGAAATGAGAATTAACCCAATTTGACTAAAATGGCAAAAATAACAAAACATAGTGGGATTTCTGAATATTATGATATTCTGGTATTAGACAGATCTCCATTGTATGTAAGTGACCTGGACAAGTTAAGTTCTTTGTGTCAGTTTACTCACCTGTAAAATGTGGATAATAGAAGTACAAAGTGTATAGAGTTGTAAGGAGTAAATGAGATAGTACATAAAATGCTTAGGGCAGTACTTAAACATAGTAAGTTTTCAATGTTTTACTATAACTATTGTTTCCTTGTCTGATGGTCCTATAGTAAGGTAGTCTGTATAAACTTTTTGATGTATTTCTTTACTTTCAGATTTCTGAGGGAAATTCCTATTTGTCAAGTGAAAATTTATCAAGTGCCAGAATTTCAGTCCAGCTGTCTACTAACCAGCACTTTTTAGGTGCAACATCAGTAGGGTAAGTTAATAATGAGAAAACAGAAGGGTTGTCCTTTCATTCTTGCATTCTTTCATTATTATAACCAATCATGGAAAATAATTTTCTGACCTTGTATGGATAAACTGCCAAGATTCCCATTTGAAAGGAGATTTTATAGGAACACAAGTTTAAAATGTTTTTTAAAAATTTCTGATACTTAAATATTATCATATTAATACTGGATTGTCTTCATTGTTTCATTGACTTGGGTGAGAACTTTTTGAAAATGTATGGCTAAACTTTTATTTGGTTGGGCATAAATTATCTGGTTAGTAGATTAGGCTCTCTTCCTCTCTCTCTGGCGTTTTTTTCTTTTATTTTGGCATTATTCATTTTTTATTGGCATGGGTTATATAAACAACAAGGAAAGCAGTATAAATCTGCCATATTTATTAGTATGTATTAGTATTACTAGTGATGAATAAATGTTTGATCTGAGAGATTAAAACTAGCTGTGGATATAAACTGACTCACATGACTGGGCTCTGTCCAGGTGCGGTAGCAGGTGCCTTCTGTGCACATTGGGGATGCAATGACGAACCCTGAGCACATCTGTCTACAAAGAGAGGGTTTCCTGTCTTCAAGTTTCTCATCAGGAAAAACACTTTTAACATTAAAAAAAACGTTTCTGGGAGGCAAAAAAATTTAAGCCAATGCACACTCAATTATAACAGATAGGGTTTTCCTTTGCCCTGGAGATCTCTGGTTGCTAAAGGCATCAGCCACTTGGGGAAGGGAAGAGTGCAAATTAGGTATTAGACAGGGTGTGCTGGAAAAGCAAAAAGGGTTGGGCAGCCCTCCTGGCTGACCACACAGCCAGTGCAGTGATGGCCATGAGGCAGTCAGGACTGGTCTCTGTCAGCGCTGTAATAGCTGGACACTATCTTGACAATCACCTCTGGATGCCACTATTTGAATTTTTCTTTCATTTCTCATTAAATTCAAACTAACAAAAATGAGCAGTAAATTTGATTTACATAAATCTATTAAATTATCTGATTATTTCAAGGTTTAAAATGGCTTTATCCATGTATTTAAAATAGTAAATGCTTATTTCTTTTTCTTAGATGTCAACCAAATGAAGATAAATGTTCTTTTAAAAACTGCAGTTCCAATTTTGTTTTTGGAGAAAACATGGTAGAAAGAGTTTTGGTAAGATTTTGGTATATGTTTCTATTACTATATACAGAGCGGTCACTTTAAATTTCTAAAGGTAAATTAATTAAAAGTAATATTAAATTGAATAATACTTTTTAACTCCTGAGTTCAACGGCACATTTTCTTTCTTTAACTGGAAAGATTCTCCTGGGAAGCATGTCCTAGTTGTTAAAATAATAGAAACTCACAGAGGAAGGGAACTGTATAATTATAACATTATTACTGATGTGAAATATTAAATAGTTCTTTGACTTGTGTTAAGCCAAAAGTACCCAAGGAAATCCCAGAATTATCTGCAATCGTTAGATAAGCTCAATTGGTAATGATATTTTAATAGTTTGCATCATTTTACAACAAGATGCATTTAAAATTATTTGCCAATTTTTTTTTTTTTTTTTTTTTTTTTTGAGACAGGGTCTCACTGTGTCACCCAGGCTGACGTGCAGTGGTACGATCTCTGCTAACTGCAACCTCCGCCTCCTGGGTTCAAGCGATTCTCCTGCCTCAGCCTTCCGAGTAATTGGGAATACAGATCTGTGCCACCACACCCGGCTAATATATATATTATATATATTTTTTGTATTTTTAGTAGAGATGGGTTTCACCATCTTAGCCAGGATGGTCTCGATCTCCTGACCTCGTGATCTGCCCGCCTCAGCCTCCCAAAGTGCTGGGATTATAGGCGTGAGCCACCGCGCCCGGCGACCAGTTTGTTCTTATTAGTTAACCACAACCCTACTTTCAAGCTCTTACATCAAAAAGCATTATTATAACTTTTCTTTCCCTAGCTTTCAGAGAAAATTCATAGTGCTTTACTTGCCTAGGAGAATCTACTTGCCTAGTGAAAACCCCTCACTGTTATTACCATCATCCTTATTTAATGCTCAGCATCTTCTTGCAATGAGATATCTGCTTCTCTGGTCCCCACAGAACTCTGATCTCTAAGACAGTGTAATCTACAGTGCAAAGTTGTACAGAAAAGTGAAAGCTGTGGGAAACCATGCCTATGGTTTTATCTGGTCAATCACATCTTCATACATTTTCCAGCTTTCACTCAAGTCAGGAAAGTGGCTGAGATAGCTTGAACATGCCTAGCTTGTCTCAGGAATACCAGTTACATGAAGAATCCCAAAGAAGCTGCAGAGATTTTAAAACTCATGTACGGATTTAGATTAATAAAAGAACCAACTCGTTAAGCCAGTTCATTCCAATTCTTTTTTTTTTTTTTTTTAGATGGGGTCTTGCTCTGTCACCCAGGCTGACATGCAGATCATGCAGGGGCATGATCTTGGCTCACTGCAACCTTTGTCTCCCTGGCTCAAGGGATCCCCCCACCTCAGCCTACCGAGTAGCTGGGACTACAGGCACACACCACCACACCTGGCTAACTTTTTGTATTTTTGGTAGAGATGAGGTTTCACCATGTTGCCCAGGCTGGCCTTGAATTCCTGAGCTCAAGCGATCCACCCGCCTCAGCCTCCCAAAGTGCTGGAATTATAGGCGTGAGCCACCACGCCCAAACTCATTCCAAAATTTTTAGGGCTTTCATATATTAGTTATTTTAAAGGCTTAGTTTATTTTAGGAACCCTTCTGTCATTCCCAAAATGAAGGTCAACTCACCAATCCTAGACCTGTGACCTATGCCTTTGGATGTGAACCAAAACGGACTAGCCTCCATGGTGAATTTACAGGCAGCATATTTAGGCACATTTATTCCATATCATTTATTTCTAAGTTTGACACCAGATTAGCCACAGCATCTGTAAAATGTCAGACAACGCTTTTCAAACCTCACAGGATCAACTTTACATTCCACTCAGTTTACCAAACATGTACTGAGTTCTTATGGTATATAAAGCATTGATCTCAAATTTGGCTGCCTGTTAGAATCATCCTTTTAAGGATTTCTTACCCTTGGTCTCATCAGACCAATTAGCTCAGAATGCCTGTGGGTGAGGCCAGCTGTCAAGCGATTCTAATGTACAGGAAGGTTTGAAAACCACCTGAGTAAGTGGTTATGCAAGCTAAAGGAGACACTGTGCCCTAAAGGTGCTTATCATCTAATAAGAGCAGACAGAGAGATACCTATTAAAATAAACTATAGTCAGGACTACAGGTTTGGTTTGAGAAGGCACTTGTGCACATTTCCTATGGGCATTTTAAATTTGGTTTATAAAGGAACCTGAATTCTCTATCTCTTTAAGTTGGTAATATCTTAAGGATAACAGGAATTATAGAGATAATTTGTGTTTGTCCTCTAATCCTGTAAATTTTTGGCCTTGCGATTTGGGGGCCAGGATGCACTCTTGGCTTATTGGCTAACTATGTGTTTTTAGAGTGAGTCATTTAAACTTTCTGTGCCTCAGTTTCTATTTTCTTAAAATGGAAATAATATACCCATCTCTACCAATTTTAAGGGAGTATCTTGATGTCTAGTTAAGTAATGTGAAATAATTTTCAGTTCATAAGGGAAAAAATATAAGCATAAATTCTTAAGTATCATTGTTCTAATTCTCTGTGTTTTGCAGAGGGCTACACATTATCGCAAATGTCATGTCAATTAGTCTTTTTTGTGCAGGCCTTGATTACAACAGACATACAGAGACCCAAGTAGCCTTAAAAGCTGTTGGCAAAAATTGTCTGGGAGGAAAAGTTAGGATTCTTTCTACAAAGATGTTCTCTGAGACATCTTGTGGGGGTCTCTGGATAACTTTTCTGTTTTCTTCCATAAAGTGGATAGCAAGAGTAAATTTCTGGGGACACTGAAATACTTTGGTATATGTTTCTGTTACTATATACAGAGCTGTCACTTTAAATTTCTAAAGGTAAATTAATTAAAAGTAATATTAAATTGAATTATACTTTTAACTCCTGTGTTCAAAGGCACATTTTCTTTCTTTCTTTTGTACCTCCTGGGCATCAGTTTAGTCTAGTCAGAGTGTGGAACATCTGTTACCTTCTTTTGTACCTTTAGACCTTTCCCATTGCCTCTGGGACTGGATCCCACCTGAAGTAGGCTGGTGGTAACTAGATTGTATTTTCTGAGGATTAGAACTCAGGCTTTCTAACAATGGAGATGAATTCTCTGTTCAGCACACAGAAAGTCCAAAATAAAAACATACCAGCTGGGCTTATTTGCTGTGTTGAAACAGAAAAATGAAAGTGTCTTACTGCAAACATATAGGGATAAAATTAAAACTTTTATTAAATAAAATTAATAATGCATCTTTTTCCCCACTCAGAGTACTCAAAAACTCACCCAGCCTCAACTTGAAAATGATTCATACACCAAGGAAAAACCATTCAAATCCACTCCGAAATCTCCTGTCAACTTTTTAAGTTCAAGTAAGAATTCTTTCATTTGTAAAACATTAGATTCACCTAGTTTGTCTTGTTTTTTATGTTATTTATTAACATTAATATTTAATATAAGTAAAATTAATATTTAATATAAGATTTTAAAAAACAGTAATTCAGTGTTTCAAATATTTTGGTAAAGATTAAAGCATATAAATATGATTATCTGATATACAAGCTTTAATAATTTTTTGAGTTAATGCTATGCGGGAATCGATAAGGAGATTTTACACGAACTCAAGCAGTTTGAATTTTTGGAATCTCACTTACTATTAGAAAAAGCCAAGTAGATATATGTGGTCATAGGGGCAATAAAGAACTTTCACAGTAGAGAAAATGGGGACTTTTCAGTGTTTTTCCCGCATTTTCTCTTAGGAACAGACTCTATTAAAAATACTTCCCTAACTGAATCAGCTGCTGCATTCTCTTCCCAACCATCACGAAAATGCTTGCTGAAGAAAATTGATGTTATAACAGGGGAGGAATCAGAACATAATGTGTTAAAGGTCTGTATATCATGTTTACTCTTTTTGGCAGCATTTACATACTTGGAATAAAGTTAACATGAGAAGAGACATCTTTAAAAATACAGACAGAAGTATAGTTTTCATGGAGACTAAGTTACTTAAATAAAAATGTTGGACGCTCTCAAAAATTACACCAGTAACTTATTTTCTTCTTATGTTTGTATGTGTACTTTGCAGGAAAATGGGTTGTTAGTTTTACAACTACTCACATTAGTCCCTTAGAAATACGATAGCCAAGTATCCTGCTTTAATATTTGCTTTTATAATTAGTGCTATTATTGTGATTAAATAATTCTACTTACACAGGTTTAACAATGTTGATACCTTGATTTCAGTCCAATAAGAATTTTGTTTTCCTCCTAAAAAAGTTTAGAATTTCACAAATTTAGCTTCCTTTAAAAAAGTTTAGAATTTCATGTAATTCAAGAATTTCACAGATATACACTACAGTATCACAGGATTTTAATGCTGAGTAGTATCACCATCAGCACAAGCACATGAAATGTAATTACTACAACTTTACCTTTTTCCAACAAGGCAGAAATTTCCCTTTGCCTTTCTCTATCTGCTTTTCTCTAAACTCTCTCCATTCCTCTCCACTTTCTGTATGATCTACAGACACTTTTATTTTAACTGTGTCTCAAAGCATAACCCTTGGATTAGATTAATTCCAGTTTTATTGAAGTAATTGTTAGGAGTGAGGCTCTGACATGCTGTATTTTTAACAGGCTGTTTAGGTGATTCTTGTACACAGTAGTAATGATTGTAGTGGGGTAACCTGTGGCATTACATCATACTTCTCCACATTATCATGCCGTCTTTGAAAATTTCGAAGCATGCAAATGGTTCAATGATTCCTTTACCTTCAAATAACATTATATAGCTCAAATAATTAATATAAAAGTTGATGTATATATAGTTTTAAAAAATCAGAAAGTAGGTATGGCATTCTACCACTGACAGAAAAAAAGAGGGGGAACATTTATATGTATTGGCATGTATATATGTACAAATATCTCTGGAAGGATAAACAAAATATTTACACCAGTGGTTACTTGTTGCAGGGGTGTAAATTGGTAGATGGGAAATAAAAGCTGGGGCCCCTTTTCACTTTGTATGTCTTTTTACTTTTTGATGTTTGAACTATCCAAAAGTTATATGTTTCTAAACATTAAATATATGTTAAAAGCTGGTTTATAAATCACTAACAAAGATTATTTTGGTAAAAGATCAGACACATATAAATGTGTCATAACATAGGAAGTAACTTACTTTGAAAAAATTTTCTATATATTTGACATTTAAAAAATTGTTATTTAGATCAACTGCAAGCTTTTCATATTCAACAAAACAACACAATCCTGGATTGAAAGGGGCAGAGGAACGTTGAGACTGAATGATACAGCAAGCAGTGACTGTGGAACATTACAGTCAAGACTAAGTAAGGAATCCTTTTGTAAAGCAAGCGACGATTTCTCAGGATTTCTCATGTGTACCTATAATAATATAGGCACATATCATTTTCTGGAGATGTGCTATAAAATACACCAAAAAAATCAGACTGTTGAAAATATTTCTATAGGAGCTTCCCATTTCAAGTAGGCTCTCCTGTTAGACTGCGTGGGCTCCAGTTCTGGCTCCAGCAGTGACTAACTAGTGACCTTGACAAGTTTTTTAATCTCTTTCTCTACTGTACTTATATCAGTTTAAAATGGGAATAACTGTAGTTCATGACTTACTGAGAGAATTCAATGAGATAAAGCATGTAAAGCACCTATATCAGAGCCCAGCACACACCTAAATAGTAATGTTATTATTATTTGAAATAATATGATGCAAATTATTTTGTAAAGTGAAAAGCTTTTCTAAAAGAAAATACTTGCCCCATAATTTGTCCTGGGCATCCCAGACATGGGATGGGGGTCAGGATGAAGGATTAGTCTCTAAGGAAAGAGATTAGTTTCCAAGGTGTGCAGTTATTGAATCCTGCAGGCATAGTGATGTTCAGAAGTTGGAGCCAGTCAAACCTAAAAATACAAGAGAGCTATCATTCAAAATGACACAATGGGCATTGTTCAGAGGTCCAAACTGAAAGACAGCACAGGGAGAGATCTGGGCAGGATGAATGGATTTATTGGTCAATTTTGAGAGGTCAAGACTTTGGAGGAGACCACAGGTAGACATCGGATCCAAGAATAAGGTTATTCGTTGAGTTTTGGATATCAAGCTCAAGAAATGGGTAAGAGATATAATTGAGACTAAAAGGATAGAAACAGTGTCTTCAGTTCTGTAACAGGCACGCAGATTTCTAAATCACCCAACCAAGTAATAGTACCAAGGCAGTTGCAAGTTATTTACTACTCTGGTTTGATTCTACTGCCTGCCAAAGGAAAAAAAAAAAATCCCCAAACAAAAATAAAAAACAAAAAACAAACCCCAAAAGCAGCTTTCTTTTTATTATGCAGGTAATATCCATTCATTGTAAAAACTGGAAAGCATGGATTGAAAAAATTTTTTAAGAAATCACTTAAAGGCCTATCTTCCTAAGATAACATCTGTTAACAGAATATATTTTTCTGACCCTTGTTTTCTGTATATATAAACGTATACATAGATTGTAAAAGTTCTGATTCATGGTGTTTATTTTGCTTTGTAGCCTATTTTTTTCTTTTACATACTACACCATGATTTTTCCACATCAATAAATATCTTTTTGCAGTATTCTTAATGGGTTCATAATATTCTCTTGAATGACTACACCATAATTTATTTAACTAATTCCATTTTTTTGGACACTTAAGGTTTTTGTTTTGGTTTTCTTCATTGTAAACAATTCGCAGACGAATATTCTTCAGACTATCAGTTCTCAAAAAGAGTTCTAAAATTTTAACCACTTTTAAATATTACAGTAGAAAAGTGTAATTTCAGCACTTAGGATAAAAAAGTTCTCCCAACATAAGAAAGTACAATTTGAAAACCAAGTTATAATCTAGTCAAATCACAAGTTAGTATTGAATCTACAGTCTGAAAAACAACTACAAGATTTATTTTGCTTTTGAAAATGGTAAATTCCTCTGTGTCAACTGTTCTGTGGCCTGATGTAGTCAACTTCCTATTTTAGTTATGCGCAATCAAGGCAGTTTAAGGCTGATCCTCAATAGCAAACTCTGGGCCCAAATGAAGATTCAAAGAGCAAACCACAAAAATGTACGAATAACAGCTACTGATTTAGAAGACTATAGCATCAAAGTATTTTTAATTCAGGTAAGTGAGAAATTTCAGTGATAGAGGATTATCCTACTACATTAATAGATGTCTGCAATTACTAATTTGTTTTTTCATTTGTTATAATAATATGTACCACTGGCAAAAACAGCCATTCATTATGTCTGTTTGTAGTATAAGACATAAATTTTACGTGAAATTCAGAAATTAACACCAAAGTCTATGTAATCAATTGGTACTCATTCCAAGACATTTGTGTGATACATGCCATCAAATCTCTACCCTTTACTTTACTACTGAAATTTTGTGAACAATCTTACTGTGTTACCAAAGTGACTATTGTCAGGAATGGTTCCCAGGAAGAGGTTAGCAGACTTTGCTTATCCTGCAAGCTGAGATTGAAAAAAGGCTTTAGGTCACTGGAAAAGAACCAGTGGGAAATGGAAAAATACAGAGCTAGCAAGTTAAAACAACCAGTCCAACAGCAAATTCCAATTCTGGACATGAGTAAATCTCCAAGGTAACAGGATGGGAGCACAGCTTTAGCTGTTTCTGGCAGAGGAATACTTGACCTCAAATACAAGATCCAGACCCAAGAGAGCTGGCAAGAATAAAGCCTTAAAAAAACAAAACAAAACCACAACCTCCCCCCCAAAAAAACTAGATTTCCCCATGGACCAACTGAAGACTGATTACCCAAGTTCAGGCAGAAGGTGACAATACAAATAAATTGGTTTCCATGTAGTAATATGGAAAAAAAGTTTGCAGGTGCCCGTGATGAAAATCCAAATTTATTAGTTACCAGTAAGCGTACTGTTAGGTGTAAGTGATATTGAGTATTAAAACGTTCAGGTAAGATGATGTACAAACCGCATTTACCATTTAAGGTATTAATACTCTTGCCAGTCTTCTGGGCCAGATTCCCCCTTGGTTTTAGGTGGGTAAAGTAGCATGCCAGAGACTGAGCCTGTTAATCATGACTAGATTCCATCCTCAGAGATGGTCACTATTAACATTTTGGTCTTATATTTTAGTATATACATGGAACTGGGTGTAAGTATATACACACATACATATATGTAGCATAGTGTACATACTGTATAATCTTTGGGAAAGCTACTTAGCCTTCTTTAAACTGATTTTATTCATCTGCAAAATGATGGTAACAATAGTACACTTTAGAAAAGCTGCTGAGATTAAAAAGCTAATATGATTGTGAAATACACATTTTACTTATCGATGTTAGTGAGTGTCTTCACGACATTAGTTTATTCTTCAAAAATTGTTTTAGTAGGTGAAAGAATTCTATTCTATTATGGACCATAATTTATTCCATTAATCGCACTAATGTGAATGATAAAACCTGGGTTTCAACTTTCAGCCAATTTGCTGACTAGCAACTCAGACAAGTCATTTTACCCTTCTGAGCCATAATTTCCTCATTCATAAAGGGAAGAGGGAAACAAGCTATATTTAGTACCTGTGCTGCCTATATTTTGCTAATATAAACGAAATTAATAATAAACCCACAGTTTTACTGAAGGAATTGAAAAAAAGAATATTTTAACAGTAAAAGTTATACCAACTTTATTGTTACCATTTTTATATTTTCATATGAATAACAACCATTAAAATAGTGTAGACAAATATTGAAAAGCAAGAACTTCTGATGTATTTATGGTACAATACCATAGACTGCTCTAATGAGCTCAGCATATCCACAAAGCTATGTAGTTTGGAGGAATGTCCAAGCAAAGTGATGGACAGGAAATGGAAGTCTTTTTTCTCTGCAAGCCTACAATTTTCTACAGTGAAAATAGTGAAGGAGGGATGGTCTTAACTAATTTAAATTCAAATAGAAATTTTATATAACAAAATTTCACTCTCTCAATTTAAAATGTATACATTGGGATTGCTTATAAAAGTATACATTTTAGGACGCAATTTAGTTCAAGATTGTCTTTTTACTGCTTAATTTTTAGGGTTGTTAGCACCTATGTACCAATTTGTAGATTTATGCCATGTAATTCCTTCCTTATTAGTAGTGAAAGATTAAAAATCTGTAAAATGTAGCTAACATTAATGATTTTCTTAACAATGTAACGTTCCTCACGCAGGCCAGTGCCAAAGATACAGCATATTTGTATGCAGCAATACATCATCGTCTTGTTGCACTTCAAAGCTTCAGTAAGCAGAAAGATGTCAATCAAGCTGAAAGCCTGTCAGAAACAGTCCAACAATCGAACTGCGAAAGCTGTGATGAGAATGAGGATGATTTCATTCAAGTCACTAAAAATGGATCAGGTAAATAGCTTTTGTTTTGTTAGGTCAGAGGTTTAAAAACGAATTCTTAAGCATGATCCTCATATATTAGGTAGATTTTTTAACAAGTGGAATTGCTCTGTTTAAAGTCGGTGGTGGCTAGAGCCTTAGTTGTTTGGATCTGAGGAGTGGGTTTGAAAATCACTGTCTTCTATAAGTGGTCTTCATTTTATCAAGTCAGCCTCATGGTGATGCCTATGTCATTTGCTTATAAACTGCATAAAAAACTACTACATTGCTACCCTGAAATTAACCCTTCATTTTTATTTATCTTCACTTACTCTCATTTTATTATTGGCTATAATAGGAAGAAATAGAAATACATATAGTGAGTCCACCTGGTACACTTGGCTTGATACCCTGAAAATTCTGTTTATTCTCTTTTTAGAATTTGACTGCTTATAAGAATAACTAGATTGTACAAATACTATTTTCAAGGACCTATTTTGTCTAGGGGAAAAAGTACTATTTCTTTTATTGTATCAAGATTCACAAATAAAGTAAGGTTGAAGTGGAACCAGTGATAAACAGATTGTTAGGTTTTAGTGCTTATCTTGATATATGGATTTAAAACTAATATTCATACTTTGGAGAAAAACAATGTCAAACATAGTAAGCTCAACTTTGTTATATAGATGTAATTATTCCAATAAAGTCATCCAAGTGTTTTCACTAACAGTTTCACTTAGTCCTGAATTCTTGTTTTACAGAGGACTGAGTAATACAATTACAATGATAGTGTGGTAACAAGCATTTTTTTCAACTCTTAATCATTTTGAAATATTAAAGCTGCTTTAATCATACATAACTTAAGAATCTATCAAAGAACGTGCATAACTGGATGAAATATCTTCCTTTGCTTAATATTAAAGCTATAATCAAAACGAAAAATACACAAAACATGCAGATCAGTATTATAACCTGCTTGACCTAGTGATTCAGAGAACTAAGTTAATATAATTTTTCTTGCTACTTTAAGCAAATCTATTAAACAAATGGTTTATTAGTCTCTAAAGCATATAAAATAAATAAAAATTCTTTTATTTTATTATAATGTTTACACTGCCAACAATAAAATGGGGTCTATCAGAGAACTAGTTGGTACACATTAACAATGTCAATTTGAAATAAGGATTAAATAGCAAATTGTCTCACAAACTAATGACACGTGCTTATGATGTCTATATTCTGTTATACTGAATTTTAGGAAAGGGGTGCTATGTAACTATCTTAATAAAAAAACAATGAAAATAATGCAAAGCAAATGTCAATCATATGAACTCCCTTTCCCTTGCCATTTTTTCCCCTTTTCACTTAGTATCTTCTCCAGGAGGCATTAAAAACAAATGCTAAAATGTTATGGAAGCAATAAAAGGTCTAATTTTTTGCACTTTGTTGCTTATAAATTATCTAAATGAGAAATGTTACTTGTAAAAATGTATATTCTGCAGCTTTTATTTCATCAACGAGTATATTCATTAATATTCATATTTAGTTGCATTCAGTATTAAAAATCTACCCGAAATATTGTATAATAAAACCTTTTAAATTTATATCACAGATCCTTCTAGGTGGACTCACAGACAGTCGGTTGCCTGTTCATGAATACTACCTGCTATAAACATGACATCTACAAAAAGAGGGTTCACCCTACTGAAAATACTAAACCACCCTAACTAATGAGAAGATTCTATTCATTCCTTGAAGAGTTTTCATAGAAAAGTTTAAGAAATGTAATTTGTTACAATTAACATTTTTATGTTTTACATTTAACATTTTGATTATTGTGCAGAAACTGACAGAATTTAAATATAGGATTTTATAACTAATTTGGACGCCTCATCACATTGATGGATATAATACTCAGAATTATAAATTGCTAGATTTGATAAATACCTACCAAAATGTTTATTTTTTTCAGTCATACACTGACCATAAAACAAATATTTTACTAAATTTCCAGAGTCATTTCTTTGAAAAACAGTATAATTGCATCATAACATTTCACTAAATCCTATTTATCTTCTGGGAAATGTATATTTTAATTTTAGCTTTTGGATTTCCTAAATATGATAAGCTTATATATTCATGGTATGAATTTCTTTAAAAAGAGCATCTGCTCTTGGACTTGTATCTGTTGCATCTTGTCAATGCTTGACTCATGGTCAGCATCCAATAGTTGTTAAACGAATAAATAAATATAATACATTACCTATGTATCAAAAAGCATGTATAAGAATTCCAAATATGTTAACTTGTTCTACTTTGTTTTATTTATGTAATTACATTTTCATTAATACTTTAGCAGGTATGGCTGTATAGAGAGAAAAACAAATGTATCATATATAGCCAAATGAATCTTTTTCTTAAATGCTATTATTATAGTAGGCTACAGTAATTTCAACAATTTTGCAATAGAGTTTTGATCCTCTTCTTTGAGATTTGTTTCACAGACACCTCATGAATCATACAAGAAAATTAGTCTCAGTACTTATAGCCCTACTTCATTTTTCAATTCAGTTTTATCACATCATGGCTTCAAAGTGACTTTTGATTGTGACCCCTAAACAATTCTCTGACTAGGGGACAAGAATTCATAATTCCAAAATGTTTCTGAAAATGTTCTGAACAATGACAACATATTTGGAATGAGGGTATAATTTCACTAAGTGATACTTCAAAGAACAATATTCATTTGGATATGCGAACACACACTTTCAAGTTATATTACTGTATCGCCATGCCTGTTATAAAATAATAAAGATATAATATATAAGTATTTATTAAGTCAAACCTCAGCTACTGCCTGAAAGTTTAGCATATGAAAGTTAAATTAACTCTTTTAGATTATGATTTAGTTAGTATAATTGTTCATTTTGTCCTTCCTTATAACTGAGAAAGCGTAACTTAATGTAAGGTAACTACTGAGAGAGGCCCATTCATTCTTCCAGTGATTCTAGAAGAAATATGGCACATAATATCCTTTACTTCTAAATAAAGGAGTCAATGACTCAGAAAATAAAGAGGAAAAATAAAGTTAATGTGAGAGAGATGAAGAAAAGATAGAAGGGAAAAAAGAGACATAGTACGAAAGAAAGGACAAAACAAATGGACAACAGAAACACTTTAAAAATCAAGAAGAGTGACTCTGATGTGGAACACACTCAGCAAAAAATTTTCATTAGAAACATAACACAGAGATATTTGGAGAAGATAATAAAGCACTGGTTCTCTTTTATTGTAAGATCTTAGTTGATGTGGGAACATTGTGATTGCACCAGCAATTGCTAAAGTGAAGAAGAGAACAAATAACTTTATTTATGTATTTTGTTTGTTTGTTTTTTAGACAGAGTCTCGCTCTGTCACCCAGGTTGGAGTGCAGTGGCACCACCTCGGCTCACTTCAACCTTCGCCTCCCGGGTTCAACGGATTCTCGTGCCTTACTCAGCCTCCCGAGTAGCTGGGGTTACAGGCGCCTGCCATCACACCCGGCTAATTTTTGTATTTTTAGTAGAGACGGGGTTTCACCATGTTGGCCAGGCTGGTCTTGAACTCCTGATCTCAAGTGATCCACGTTGCCTCAGCCTCCCAAAGTGTTGGGATTACAGGCGTGAGCCACTGCACCTGGTCATCGTTATCCTTTTGACATGTTCATCTTTGTTACCACACTAAGGTAGAGATAAAGCAGTATCTTCTCAATGCTTGAAACATTTTAAGTTAAATTCATTCTATGATTTTCTTTAGATTTCTCCGCATATATCAATGGAAAAAATTAACTACCTTAATTTCTGATCTATATAGAAATTCCAGTGCAACAAAACCAAATATAGGGTTAGAATATCAGGAAAGCAAAGAAAGAAGTGAAAATTCCCAGATTATGAAATGGAAAAGAAGAACAGAAACATGATATTTAGCTCACAACTCTTTCAACCCATTTTCTATACACTCCATTATTCTTAGAATTCTTACACAAATATTTAGTACAATTTTGGAGGAATAGTAGAAACATTTTATGACTTTTCCTTGTCCTGTATCTTCACCTAGCCTTCTTCTTTTCAGCTTTCCTATGTCCTTTCTTCCCCTTTTATAAGGAGAAGTTGTACAATAACATCAGTTGTACAATAACATCCATTTTCATAAGTTATTTAGGTAGATCATTTCGAAGTATACATTTTGGATTTCCAAAACAGCTGTTTTTAATTAAAATTTAATTAACTATTTATGTCATTATATATCTTTTGTTAAGACAACCTTAACTTTCTTCTCTTTTAATAAGATTTTACCCAACTGTTTACCCTAATTATAGACAATTAAAATGTTCTCTTAAAAATATATTATTTTCCATCCATTACTGCCAAAGCAAAGAACCCTTTTTCGCCAGAATACATCCTATACAGCAGTGGTAACCAACCTTTTTGGCACCAGGGACTGGTTTTGTGGATGACAGTTTTTCTACAGGTTAGGGGGTAGTTAGGGTGGGGTGGTTTTGGGATGAAGCTGTTCCATCTCAGATCATCAGGTATTAGAGTCTTATATGGAGCGTGCAACCTAGGTGCCTTGCGCAGTTCACAGTAGGGTTTGCATCCTATGAAAATCAAATGCTGCCTCTGATCTGACAGCAGGCAGAGCTCAGACAGTAACGCAAATTATGGGAAACAGCTGTAAATACAGATGAAGCTTCACTCCCTTGCCCGCCTATCCCCTCCGGCTGTGTGGCTTGGTTCCTAACAGGCCAGAGACTGGTACTGGTCCATAGCTCGGGGGTTGGGGACCCCTGCTATACAGATCTTAGAGTATTTGAACGTCATAAAAAGAGGTATATATGTCTTCCATAGAGTCAGAATGTACGCGAAGTGGGGGTAGGAAGGATTCTAGGGGTTGGGAATGATATATTTTAAAACCTGTGTAAATCTTCAAGTTGTGAATATCACAGTGATATATAATTTTTCCCATAAAATGTTGAGAACAGTTAAGTTTGCTTGAGATATGGCTATCACATGGTTGGTTAGACTCATTTACTAGAAAAGCACACCAGCCTCACCATAGATGGAGTTTGAGTTTAAAACTCAGTAACATTAAATCCATGAATGCCAGCAGTTTGGTTTGGGACGGTGAGGTCGGTAGATTGCCTGAGCCCAGGAGTTCAGGACCAGCCCGGGCAACACTGCACAACACCCCATTTCTACAAAAATTTCAAAAAATTAGCAGGGTGGCTGGGCGCGGTGGCTCATGCCTGTAATCCCAGCATTTTGGGAGGCCGAGGCAGGCGGATCATGAGGTCAGGAGTTCTTAGGACCAGCCTGGACAAGATGGTGAAACCCCGTCGCTACTAAAAATACAAAAATTAGCCGGGCGTGATGGCACGGCCTGTAATCCCAGCCACCGGGAGGCTGAGGCAGAGAATTGCTTAAACCGGGAGGCGGAGGTTGCAATGAGTCGAGATCGTGCCACTCACTGCACTCCACCCGGGATGACAGAGGGAGACTCCATCTCAAAAAAAAAAAAAAAAAGAAAAAAAAAATTAGCAGGGCATGGTGACATGCATCTGTAGTCCCAACTACCTAGAAGGCTGAGGTAGGAGGATCGCCTGAGCCTGGGAGTTTGTGGCTGTGTTAGCCATGCAGTGCAGTGCCACTGCACTCCAGTCTAGGTGACAGAGTAAGACCCCGTCTCAAAAAAAAAAAAAAAAAAAATTTGTAAACTATTTTTTTACACTGGAAGGAAGAATTATTGAAATGATTAGCCAATGTTTAGGCTAATCAAGACTTGATATGGATAAGTTTTCTAACAGAGTATTACCAAGATTTCTTAATTTGTACCAATCTAGTGGATATAAAATATTATTTCACAATGATATTATTAGTATTTCTCTAATTTCTAATAATGTTATCTTTTCAAGTATTTATTCACTGTTTGTGTTTCTTCTAAAAAATGCCTGCTCACGCCTGGGGTGCGGTGGCTCACGCCTGTAATCCCAGCATTTTGGGAGGCTGAGGTGAGTGGATCATGAGGTCAGGAGATCGAGACCATTCTGGCTAAGACAGTGAAACCCTGTTTCTACTAAAAATACAAAAAATTAGCCTGGCATGGTGGCACACATCCGTAGTCCCAGCTACTCGGGAGGCTGACGCAGGAGAATCGCTTGAACCCAGGAGGTGAAGGTTGCAGTGAGCCGAGATTGCGCCACTGCACCCCAGTCTGGATGACAGAGCGAGACACTATCTCAAAAAAAAAAAAAAAATCACAATTTTTGCAAAGCTAATTGTGTCATTTTCTCCTTTGGTTCCTCCTAATATATGCAGGATAAAAGACAAGTTCCTAAGCATGGATTTAACACTTTTCATTGTCTTTACCCTTGTCTACCTCTCTAGCCTCACTTCCCAGTGTTGTCTGCCTCTCTCTAAATTCTCTAAAAATTCAAAATTGCTAGTTCATTGCTTCCATGCATTTGTTCATGGTGTTTCTTCTGTGGAATTTCCTTCTCATTCTTGCTGATAATGGCTAATATTGTATTCATCATTTAAGGCTTAGCTCTTCACATTTCCAGAAAGCCTTGTCTAACTCTTCTTAGGCTGACTTAAGACCTGCTCCTCCAAATTTCTATAGCATTCTGTGTATAACTCCATCACTGCATAGACTTTAGGCTCCTCAAGGGCATGGACGCTTTTTATCATTTCATCTGTAGCACCTAGCAGGATGCCTGGCCTACAGTGACACTCAAATGTAATTTAATCTCTACGAATGTGTGTTACATGTGTAAGATTTAAGAGACATTATCTAAAAGGAAACTAGATAAGGATTGGAAATTCAGGAGAAAGATCTGGGCTAAAGACGGCAGTAATAACTGAGGTCATGAAAGGGGCTAATATTTGCCAGGTGTGTACTGTGTAGTGGGCACAGTGCTAGGCATCCGTCATATATTCACAATTTTACAAGGTAGCAATTATATTTTATAAATGCAGAAGTAGGCTCAGGAAGGTTAAACAACCAGTTCAAGTTTCACAAAGCTAATAAACAATAAAACTGGGATTTGAACCAAGATCCTTCCATTACACAACACTGAATGAACTCAGGAATGTGTGTGTGTGACAGAGAGACAGAGAGAGAGAAGGACAAAGAAGAGGCAGAAGAAGAGACAAGGAGACGAGGACAGAAGACATCTTGGAGATGGGTTTAGGAAGAAGTCAAAAAGGGACATAGAAATGGGAGAAACACTGTTAGGGACTGGTGTGTTGGGAGACAGTAAAAGATTTCAAGAAGAAATGATAACCATTCCAAATTCTTCAGAAAGATCAAGCAATTAAAGGACTGAAAAAAGTATTCTGAGTTCCAACAATATCTTTTGGCCACCTTGGAAACACTAGTAATTAGCAAAGTAGTGGGGAGAAGCTAGTGTACAACAGGTTGAGGAATGACTAGGAGGCAGGGATGTGACAATGATAAACAAGACTACTCTTTGGAGAATCAGCTGTAAAGGTAAGGCAGGCAATATGTAAAAACCAAGGCTTAGAGGTTGTTTTTTTAAGAAAAACTTTAAAGATGTCATAGACATGAGCATATTTAAATACGGAAGAGGTAAACTCATTTGGGAGGGAAAATTCAAGATACCTGGGAGAGGATGCCTTCAGAAAGCACATTTTTTAGGAGGTGGAAGATGATATGCAAAATAACTATGGACAAAGGCCTATTCCAACTGAGATGTCAATGCATATGTTTGTAGCTGAAGTGAGAGAGCCAAAAATCTGGGTTTTTAATCTGTGAAGTGGGAAGAAATGAGGTCTGAGATTTCAAATATGAGCAACAAAACTCCGACTTTGATCCCAAACAGTTTCTCCCTACTCATTTTTTTTTTCTGTCGAATGGATCAATTAACATTCCCCTATTCACCCTGGCCTCAAACCTAAGTGTCATCTGTGATTTCTCCCTTTCATTCCCTTCCTAATATCTAATGAAGTTTAAAATAGTAAGACTACAAAGGAGTCTGAGCATAGTTATAGATGTTACCTCTAGAAGTTCAGGTTATTAAGGTTGTTACACTACACGTCACTATAAGCAGCTGCTGTGAGGCAAAGTTCTTGGTGAGAATGGGTCAGTGGCAGAACTTTACCAAGTAAACACCTATCGGGCTTCATTGTGCATGCTCCCAGTCCAATACACTACCTGGCACACAGCAGGCACACAGCGGGAACCAACGAATGAACGCTGGTGCTGGTGGGCCCGTGAGGAGAGTCACAGATTCACTGAATCGATTTGGACTTGGTAGAACCTTGGGGTCACCTAACCTCCTTTTTACAGATGAGGAATTTGAGGCCCAGAAAGATGAAGTAACCTGCCCAAAGTCCAGAAGCGACTTAGCGCCAGGACTACAAGGAGCAAACACAGTGCCAGGGGAAGGGGATCTAGGGAGCTGCAGGAATTGAACAGCAGAATGTGCACTGCCATTTGGTTTCCCCCTTACAATGGGACGTTTCCTTCTGTTCTCATCACACCCCAGCCCTGGTCCTGGTCCTGATCACTCCATGGGTCATTATCCCAACAGCATCCTGTCCTCCTCTTCTTGCCTCCCAAGCTACCCAACATTCCCAAGCCAGATCAACAGTCATCAAACATTGCTTTAACTCACTCCATTCCAGTTAAAAGCTTTCAAATAATTCCAACCTATGGGACAAAGTCCAAATGACTAACATTCTTATTCCCGCGCTCTAGTCCTGCCTACTTTCAACCGTCGCTCCTCGTGGAGAAATGCTCCATTCTGCCAGGCTCCCCTACCCATCATCCTCCAAGTTCCTTAGGCCTCTTCGGGGGGCAGCGGGGCGGGCACTGGGTCCCACGCCGAGAGGATTTCGTGCCAGGTCACGCACACGGTGCAGCAGGAGCCGGGTCCCCCCCCCCAGCCCCCAGCCCGGCCCTGGACACGCCAGCTATCACACGCCCTGGTCAAATGAACCAACGGGCACGTGGTCGGCCTGCAGAACAGAACCCGAGCGAGGACATGCCCGGAACCTGCCTTCCCGCCAGTGGCTCAAAACCCCACCCGCAGGCCCCGCGCCGCCTCAGACCGGAAACAGCTGGATTCCTCAGAGCGGCGCAAACGCCTAACAGAATTCTACCTCTTTCCCGGCCGCAGCAAATGGCGCGGCCCCTCGGGATCCGGAGCCGCCGCGGGTTCTGATTGGCCGATAGAGTTAGCCTGGGGCAGGAGAAGAGCTACCTCAGGGAAGCTTGTGGAGCTAGGAGGTCGCCCCCGGGCGGCGAAGCGGCCATTACGCAGGCGTGAGTGAAACGAATAAACAAACAAACAAAACCCACTAGCCCGAGGTCTCCATTTCTTCCCCGCCCACCTTTCCCCCGCGTGGGGTCTCCGGTTTCCCAATCGCCACGCTTTCCCCGCCTTCGTCAACGTCTGGGTACGTCCCCCTAGCCGCGCTGGCCACGCACGTCCCGACACTTAACCTCTGCCCGCCCGGCGCGAAGTTAGAGGCCGGGGTTGCGCGAGCGGCGCGCACTCCCGGCAGTGGGGAGCGGAGGCCAGGAGCCGGAGCCCGAGCCCGCGGCCGCGGCCGCGGCCTGGCCCAGGATGACTTGCTACCGAGGCTTCCTCCTGGGCAGCTGTTGTCGCGTGGCGGGCGGCCGGGTGGCGGCGCTGCGGGGACCGGGTGCGGGAGGCCCCGCTGCGCGGCCCCGGCTGGGCGGTGACGGTGGCGGCCGGCGGCATCTGGGGCAGGGGCAGCCGCGCGAGCTGGCGGGCTGCGGCAGCCGCCCGGACGGCGGCTTCCGCCCCTCCCGGGTGGTGGTAGTGGCCAAAACCACCCGCTACGAGTTCGAGCAGCAGCGGTACCGTTACGCGGAGCTCTCGGAGGAGGACCTGAAGCAGCTGGTGGGTCCTGGTTCGGCCCCGCTTCGCTCCCGTGCTCGGCCAGGGCTCTGGTGGCTGCTGCGCCCCCTCGGGCGAGACCTCTCGGGACAACTCTTCCCAGGGCACCGCAGATGCCCGTCCTGCCTCTCTCGCGGCCCCCAGGTCCTCTGGTTTCTCCCTGGGTCCTCTTTGCCTCTGGGCGTGCGTGCGTGCGAGGGAGAGGCAGGGCCGGGGAGAGGGAGAGCTGGGGAGAGGGAGAGGGGCAGTATTCGTGCAGGGACTTCCGAGGCAGGGGCGCCGCGGGGAGGGCGAAGAGGGGCTGCCGAGTGGTCTCATAAGAGTGAGGGGTTTGGGGATTCGTTGGTGCTCTCGCCGACCCCGCCCTCGTTCGCTGGTTGGGTCCCACTCCAAGAAAGTGAGCCGTGGCCTGAGGGCTGGACGCCCTGCGAACAGCTCCCCAGGACGCCCCGAGAAAGGGGGCCCGGGGCGCCGCTGAGAGCTGCAGGGGGAAAAGGGCCGAAACTACCGCGGACACACCCCCTTTTACTCTGCAGGACTGCGAGGCCTAGGGCACTCCGGAAAGCCCTTCAGCCTGAGCCTTTTCCTTGCTGTAACGTGGTCGTTGGACACTACCAACTTGTTTTAAAAGCACAGGTCTTTGGTGCTGAGAAGGGAAAGGGAGAAAATGTGACTTGTATATATACGTTTTTAAGGAGAAATGTCAGGACAAGGGGCTGGTATACTGGGTAGTGTGTGAAATAAAAAGCCTGCGACTCTTGTGCAACAATATCTCCACAATAGACCATATTTGATACGTTTATTAATATATATGCAAAAAGATACAAATCCAAGAGAAAAACCAGAGTTTGAATCTTCCTGTTGTCAACCCCCGTCCCCCCAACACTTTAAAAACAATTTGTGATGCCATACCCCCATCCACCAACTTCAGGAAAAGGAGAGTGCCCGGTGCTACCATGAGCAATGTGTCCAGAAAAATCTGTTGGAAATCTCTTAATTGTTGGCACTGTGCACCAAAAGGTTTTGGAATTAATTGCACGTAACTAATTTAGTTTAATTCTGTGCAAGACAAGACAACCTGTTGGAAACCTCTGGTATTGTGTGATCTTAGCGAAGTTATTTTTTTGTAGAGGCGTCAAAATGAAATTATAAATCATCTTTGCTTAAGTGCTGAATCTGTTGTCAACATTAAACATCCTGCTGCTTTGTTGGGTTTATTGAAGAGGGCCTCTGCTTTCACCTGATGGGAGTCTAAATTTGTAGATTTGTTTTCTGTTTCCTGAGTGAAAATGACTGTTTATAGAATACACTTGCATCATTTAAAGAATAAAACAGTTTGAACAGGAGGCTAGAGTAGTTGAGTTTGTGTTAGGGAGTGAAACTAGAGGTGAGGCATGGACTAGTAATGTCATAAGAAAGCACAGTGTTACTATTTGGGGAAAGTGGTGTGCCCTTTGGGTTGTACTAATTTTGCAAAGTCTAGCTTGTAGAATTTGTCAAATGCCATGTATGCATGAATATGTGCATACAGTTTTATCGAAGCTTCCCACAACAATTTAGAATAGCTCACTTGGCATGTTTAAAGTGTGGGATTAAGAGTGAAGAGCTCAGTTCTAGGCCCCTGGTTCTGTGTGGTTAACTTCCTATGTGTGTTCTCTGGGCCTCATAGGTGGAAATGATACTTCTTGTGTAGTATGGTCCGTTTTCAAAGTGCTCCACCTAATTCAGTATGTGAATTGCTGAGGTTGTACCAGATAGCCTCCAAGGTCCTTTACAGTGCTGGCATTTTGAAACTGTGGATAACGTTTTCAAGGCCTCAAGAAAATGGGTGACATCTCAGGATTAACTCTTGGACCTCTGAACTAGATTGCCACTTAATAAAAAACTTTTAAAATGTAGGGAAAATCAATAAGTCTGAAAAAGTCAAACTACCTAAGTGTACCCATTCTGAGTGGAGAAATCTCTAATAAGGTAAATATTTGTCTATTGCTAGGTAATGCTGTTTGGGATAAGCCAGCTTTGAAGTAAAACTCCTGGGACTGTAGAATACACAGTTTTGTAATTGCCAGGCATTGGAATAGTTTTTGTTGATGTTGTTGTCATTACAGTTTTATTGGATAAGTTCCTTACTGATTTGAATTTGTGTTATAGTTTATATCAAGGCCCGTACTCAGAGTGCAATAGCATTAGTTGTAGCCCAGATGAGAGATTATTAATAGGCCAAAGAATACTGGGCTGTGTGAAGTTGTCCTAAAATGGGATTCTGTAATAGGAGTGATAAGATGATAAGTATTATTGGTTATATTGCTGGGATAAAAAATACTAAGTTATGTGAATCATGTGAATTGGATATAAAAGAAAGTGGCCAAGTGTTTGAGTCTCACCATGGCTGCTGTGTCTCTAGTGTCATGGTAACTTGGTTTTTTGTCAAAGCATTCTCTTTTGTTGTGGTGGTTTTTTTTTTTTTTTTTTATGTAAAATAGGTCTGTATTAGGCTGTTTGTTAAAATGCAAATGGAAGATGAAGGATAGAGTGCCAGTATAATTTTATACCTTGAAGGCTGATGATTTTCTAACTTTGTAGAAATGTAAACAATTACAGGAAATATTTTTTAGTTGATAAGGCATGCACAGAATAGGTTTACATCCTTCAAGCTAGTCAAAGTTTTGACTTTTATTTACCCTTTCATATTGGTTACATTGCTTTATTTTAAAATCTTGTCTTTTTCCCCATTGATTGACCAATGACTTATCTTGTGATATCAAATTTCTGGTCAAATATTTTAGTTCCACTGTTTCATGACGTTTCAAAAGCCAGTAAAACTATTACTACAATTTACTTGCTTCATTAAGAGATACAGCTGTTGGCAAATGTGGAACTGCTATTAACAGGGTCCTTAACACAAATTAGAACTCTAGATGAAACAGAACTGACTTGGAAAGGATTTTGACACCAGAAACATACCTCACTGGTCAAAAAAAGGTTTTATTTAAAGCTCTTTTTCACCTGTCACCAAGGATGGGGAACTGAATAAGGGAAAAAAAATATTTTAATATAGAACAAATAAGAAGTCAGCAGTTTCTACCCTCCTCTCCGTCATTCCAGGTCTCACAACTTGGCAACCCTTTTATTGGTGTCTACTTTTAGTTTTGTTTTCTAAAATTCATAATGGGATAGAATAATTTCATTTAATAGTCTGCCGTGTTATTTGATTAAACTAGATGACTTGGAAGGTGTAGCACCTTGGATTTCCCTTTTGTTTTCTGAAGATTTTGTGGCTTAGGTTGTAGCACTTGGGCAGATAATACTTTTGCCACAGGGTATGCAATAAGTGTACCATGGTATAATTTTGTCAGGTGGTATACTTTTGCTACATTGTATGCAATAAGTATATTGTATATAATATGATTGTTAATCAAATAGCATAATTTGGAGTACTGCCGGAGCTTTCTAACTGAATCTTGCTCCTCTCAAATCTTCTAGACAGACACCAGAGTGTCTATCTAAAGTGAGCATCTGGCCCTTTCTCTCTTCTGCTTAGAACTCCACAGAAACTCCCTGTACCCTTTAGTCACCTAGAGTACTTGTTAAAATGCAGACACCTGAACCTTAGCCCCCAAGACTCTGACTCAGTTTGTGGAGAATTCCCAGACTTTGGTTTTCTGAAGTACACACTTGACACTAATGACTCTGGCTGAATTCCAGGGATGTGTTTTATCCCTGGTTTGCATGTGGTCCCCAGTTACACTGAGAAACACGGTCATGGGCTCAAGTTCAGGATCTTTAGAATGACAGAAAAGTCCCTTCGTGAACTGGCTACCTCTTGAACTTCACTTCTGATCACTTCTTGTCTTAAATTTCATATTCTGGCAATTTCAAACTGTCTTAATTTCCATGAGATGTTTTACTGATTTAGTTTAGTTTATGGATCACTAGCACATAAAATGATTCAAAATGTAAAAGATACAAAATATTATACAATGAAAAGTCTTTCTGTTACTTGTCACTTGTCATTCAGTTTTGTCCCTGGAGGTAACTATTATCAATTTCTTGTGTTTTCTTCCAGAAGCAACCTATACCTACAAATCAACACAGTGAAATATTCTTTTTCTTTGCCTCATCTCTTTTTATTCAATGATAATACACTATTTAAGGTATTATGTGCCTTTTTTTTTAGCCTAACAGCATTTGTGGAGATTGTCATAAAGAGCATTCTCATTCTTTTTAAAA